GATGCGGTTGCTAGATATCTGCCATAACAAATATATAAGACCTTCCAAGAAGAAAGCTAGACGAAGAAAACGGTTTCAAGAGAAAGAAGAAGAAACACATTATTACTTGTTTCCAGGAGAGAGTAGACATTTAAGGATGTAGCCATTATGAGCTTGTAGCTTATGAAGGGGCTCAAACTCGGTCATCGTCTGAGAACAACGAACGAATTTTTAATTGGCATGAACAATAACAGCATGGTGGAAGAAAGAAATGTTTTCATATGATAAGAAAAAGTACTTGTATTCCTTGCAACGAGCGCCATACATAACATGTTCCACGTTCGTTAGCAGCAACCACCATTGTCCCATCCCACATAACCGTTAAAGACCGTATAGGTGTACCAACTTCTGGTACCTATAAGTTATACACCAAGTGATTAATTATATCTACAGATTTTTAAGAAAATGTAACTAGGATAAAGAAATGTACCAGTTCACAGCTACACAAATCTGCTCTGAGATCCCATACACGTATATTTCCGTTTTGGTCTCCAGATATCAATTCAGTCTACCCAAAAAAGATAACAAGTGAGAGACAACTACCAGAAGCTGATTGCTACAACACAACACTAACAAATATAATGTACCTGATTTGGGTGTAAAACAACTGTGTTAATTGGTGAAACACTTCTAAACTCCCTCTGGCATTCTCGAACCCTGCATTTCGGTTTACGGGTCGACAATTCGTTGTTAAGCTCATGGAAATCAAAACTAGCATTGAGCTATAAAAGAAAAAGAAAAAAAACATGATTGTACAACCTCAAGTCCCAGATCTTAACAGTGCCATCTTCGGATCCTGAAAACATCATTTGTCCAGTATACTGGAATCCTACTGCCATAACATTTTTGGTGTGTGATTCAAAAGTCCTCACCTAATGCGCACAAAGACGCCATCAAGATCAGAGGTAAGAACAAACAAACACTACATGGAAAGGAAAAAAGAAGGAAATTTACAGGTAAATGAGGGGCCATGGAATTGAGATCAAAGAGTCGAATGTGAGGATTGCAAGCTGCTACAAGTTTACCCTTATCAGGGGTTATCTCAAGCCTATTCACATGCTGAATATATATATAAAAAGTTTCAGAAGAAATGTAAAAACTAAAAAATGCATATATATATGTCACAGAGATTTAGTGTTGAGAAACAAACACACACCATATCAGGATAGGCAAAGGAAAGGTAACAGGTACCGGTTCGGGCTTCCCATAATCGAATGGTATGATCATAACTTGCCGTTGCGAGAAACAAGGGACGATCATCCGGATTGTTTTCAAACATTATTTCCTCAACAGAAGACTAGGGTTTCGCAAACGATTTTTTTTTTGTTCTGACAATTTGGGGATTTATGCTGATTTTCAGACAAAAAGAAACCATTATTATATTAAAATATACTATTCATTATCTTTCTCTTTTTTTGGTCAAATATATCAATTAATTATCTTATATATGCTTCAATTTTATATTAATGTTTTGATTTTATTCCTTCGTATTTCGGATATGTTTCCTAAAAAAGTGTAAAGGAAAAAAAAGAAGATAAATTTTAAATTGCCAAGAAAAGGACAAAAAAAGGCGAAAAGGTATTTCTTTATCTAAAAACAAGTCAATATTCTAAATTATAATTATAAAATAATCCTATATAAATAAAAACTCAGTGTTAATATGTTTGGTTCTCCTAATAAAAAAATCTGAAGCCAAAACGATATGTCTCCTTCTCCGAAGAAGTTTAAGAAACAATCTTCCTCTAAAGCAGTTAAGCCACCGCTAGAAGATAACGATCCGTCCTTGCCGTCGTTTTCTTCACTGCCCGACGAAATCGTTTTGAACTGCTTGCAACGTGTCCCAATAAGCTATTACCTAAACCTCTGTCGAGTGTCCAAAACCCTAAGGTCCCTTGTTCGGTCGCCTGAGCTCTCCCGTTTGCGATCTCTCCTCCCAAAGAATTCTGTCTATGTCTCCTTCAGTGAAAACGATGCTCCACATTTGACCCACCGTTGGTTCACTCTTAAGAAGACGACGATGAAGACGGCTATGAAAACGTTTGGGTATGAATTGGTCAAGATTCCGATTCCGTTTCCTTCTCATCATCATATGTATAACTCTTCCGCTGTCGCGGTTGGGTCAGAAATTTACTTCGTAGGTGGATCTTTCAAACCTTTGTCGGATCTATGGATTCTTGATACACGAACTGGAATGTTTACACAAGGACCAAGCATGAAAGTTGCACGCACGGATGAAGCCTCCGTTGGAGTAATCAACGGTAAGATATACCTGATAGGAGGGTGTGAAAACAAGATACAAGCAGAAGTTTATGATCCGAAATTGCGGAACTGGAAAACTGCGAAAAATCCAGAGGAGAAATCGCAGCGCGGATTGATGACGCGGTTAAGTGCGGTGTCATTGGATTGGAAGGTTTACACTGTGGAAGTTGGGAGAATCGGTGTGTACGATCCGAGAGAAGGTAAAAGAAAGGAGACATTGAAAATCCCAAGTGATATCGTATGGTGTATGTGTGTTGTTAATGATGTGCTCTATGCTTGTTATTTTCAGCAGGGGTTGATGGGATTTGACGTGAACCGCAAGGTATGGGTTAAAGTGGTTGGTTTAAAGACACTTAGTGTCAAGTTTGATGTCTCTGTGATGGCGGAATACGATGGAAAGCTAGCGATTTTGTGGAGTGAGATTGATGACACGAAGACGAAGAAGGAGATTTGGTGTTCAGTGATCGCGTTGGATTGGATTGGAGAAGGGATTCGTGGGACAATTGAGTGGTCTGGCATTGTGGCCACAATGCCAGATTACTATGAGTTTCATAATTGTTTAGTTGTTTCTGATTGATAGGGTTTTGTTGCAACGTAAAAAACTGGTTTAACTCTTAGAATTTGACTTTATAATGCCTTATAAACAAGGCAGTTTTTAACAATTAGGATGTGTTAACAAAAAAGATTGTTGTTATTGATGTATAGTAATATTGTGGTTTGAATTAAGTTTCTCTGGTGTTCTTAAAACATTAGGTTTTCTTCTTAAATTCCAAAGACAAGGAACAACTCCAAACCAAAAGAAAGAAAGAAAAAGCCAATCCGAAATCTTGAAAGCTAAACACATCTAAAAAGAAGATTCCAATCCAATCACTCGAACGCCCATTTGTTCTCATTGCGAACCTCCGCTTCTTCCTCAGGTGTGTAATCGTTCTTGATGTTAAAGTGCTCACGCATCTGCTCTGGAGTTTTGCCTCTCATCATATCAGCCACGGCCTTGCACGTTAGGTCAAGAAGTCCACTGATGTTCAAATAGTTAGCAGCCAGGATGAGATCGAAGAGAGTAGGCTGATCAACTTTGACGAAATCATTGTCCCATGCCTTAAGTTCATCGTTCTCGGTGGAACCACAAAAATCCTTATCTCCGCCTGCCTCAGCCGCGGCTTCAACGTGCTTCTTGCAGTACTCAATAACCTTCGCGAGGATGGCTCCGGTCACATTGGGAAGGGGAATTCCGTTATCGGCGCAGTCGTCTTCGATCATGTGCTTAATCGTCTGAGACTCGACCGCGACGGCTTCATCGACCTCGAAGGATTCACCGTCGGAGCTCTTGAGGATGATCTTCTTCGCTGCCATCGTTGCAAGGAGAAGGAACAAAAGTTTTGAAGAGAATCCGCGCGGCGATTGATTTGTGAAGGTTTCAAGGTTTGGGAATTTGGTGCCCTATTTATAGATCTAAGTAAAGCCCAATTCTTAATTGGTGATTAAAGTCGGTTTATTGCTTTTTTTTTTAACGTGTATACAAAAATATCAATGAGCATATACTATCCAATACAACGGAAACTTAAGTATATCGAAATAATCGAAAAAGTAAAGTTACACGTTGCTTCCTTTTCTAGGCAAGCCTTACACGCTAATAGATTTATCAATCTATTATTTTCCTTCATCGTTTTTGTCTTCGGTCTAATTTGATCTTCTTGCTTGGCTATCATTTCTTTCATGAAACTCCAATACGCTTTCTAAAAATCAAAAGGTTGTGATCCATCAGTTACATCGCAAACCATACAATCATTTCCATCTCCAATGCTAGGCGATGGGATTGTTTTGGTTGTAAATAACACCCATGATAGATCCATAATCTCGATTCCTTTGTTGACGTTTTTTTAAGACCAAAAATGAAAGGTCCCTCTAAAAGTTATTTATAGCGCTTGGTATCTTTTCCTTCACCGTCTGATTGCTTCTTTGTAACCTTGATATTCCGGGATCCCATAGTCGCCGACCAATACACCAATATATTCTTCGAGTTTTACACTCAATCCCTTCACCAAAATGGTTTGGGGGATCTTGGCCATCATGGAGAGTCGGAAAACCCTTCATGGAAATAACGGGCTCGACCTGAGTATAGTAAAAAATTGGACCTACTCCAACGAACCACCATCTCAATTGTTGGAGAAAATTTCCAAAAACGTTATCGTTTCCAATCACTAGACGGATGATCATATCTAACCGAGTCTATGTGTGTTTGATCCGCCATCACTGTTGAGACTGTAATTTGGTCCCAAGAACTATGAACCTTATCAATAGTCGCCGTCGGTGGGAATCCCGCTGCAACCATTGTCACTAACAAGTGAAGAGCAAATACACAATGTAAAAACTGCCGTAGGATCGCCAAATCAATCTCCAAATCCATCATATTTGTTGCCATAATCTGAGAATACACTGTCAGAGATAATTGATAATCGCTCATTCACTCTCGGAGGCGAAGAGAATCATGGGAAATGAAAAAGGCACGATCACCTTTCTAATCGCCTCAGAGACAAAGGCAGTTTTATTTTCAATAAATTTCACTTGATGGCCAAAAAAAAGAAAAAAGAGAGAGTTTTTATCAGTCTGCCGCCAAATTCATCATGTTAACGTTTTTTATCCTCTTTTTTTTCTTCGCAAAGTTGTCACCTTTATAGATTTTTCACCGAAATTGAAAGCTCAAGAAGAGAACTTTTTTGAAGTTGTACGTTTTGTTATCTCTCTTATAGTCTACAGATTCAAATGGATGCTCGGGTTCCACTCTCTTTATCTACTCTATTGGAACTCTGCACCAATCTCTTGCAAAAATCTGTAAACAAGTCCAATGGTCGTTTCACAGCGCAATTGGTCCATTGTCGCATTATCAAATCGGGTCTTGTGTTCAGCGTTTACCTGATGAATAATCTAATGAATGTCTACTCAAAGACTGGTTATGCTCTTCACGCACGCAAGTTGTTCGATGAAATGCCTCTGAGAACGGCTTTTTCTTGGAACACGGTTCTTTCGGCTTATGTTAAACGTGGAGATATGGATTCGACTTGTGAATTCTTTGATCGGTTGCCTCAGAGGGATTCGGTTTCGTGGACTACGATGATTGTTGGGTATAAGAAGATTGGTCAATATCATAAGGCTATAAAAATTATGGGGGAAATGATGAGAGAAGGGATTGAGCCGACGCAGTTTACGCTTACGAATGTGCTTGCATCGGTTGCTGCAACTCGGTGTTTGCAGACAGGTAAAAAGGTTCATTCTTTCATCGTTAAGCTTGGTCTTCGTGGTAACGTTTCTGTGTCGAATTCCCTGCTTAATATGTATGCAAAATGTGGTGATCCGATGATGGCAAAAGTTGTTTTTGATAGAATGGTGGTTAAAGATATCTCAAGCTGGAATGCTATGATTGCGTTACATATGCAGGTTGGTCAGATGGATCTAGCTATGGCGCAATTTGAGCAAATGGCTGATCGCGATATAGTCACTTGGAATTCTATGATTTCTGGTTACAATCAGAGAGGGTATGATCTCAGAGCTCTAGATATGTTTTCGAAGATGCGGAGGGATTCTATGTTGTCACCAGATAGATTCACTTTGGCGAGTGTGTTATCTGCTTGTGCCAATCTTGAGAAGCTTTGTATTGGGAAGCAGATTCATTCACATATTGTTACTACAGGGTTTGATATTTCCGGAATTGTGTTAAACGCTTTAATCTCTATGTATTCGAGGAGTGGAGGGGTCGAGACTGCCCGAAGACTAATAGAACAAAGAGGAACCAACGATCTCAAGATCGAAGGTTTTACAGCTTTACTTGATGGGTACATTAAGCTTGGGGATATGAACCAAGCTAAGAATATATTTGATTCGTTGAAAGATCGCGATGTAGTCGCATGGACCGCCATGATTGTAGGATACGAGCAACACGGTTTGTATGGTGAAGCTATAAACCTTTTCAGATCAATGGTAGGAGAAGGGCAGAGACCAAATAGTTATACTCTTGCAGCAATGTTAAGTGTAGCTTCAAGTTTGGCATCATTGGGCCATGGCAAGCAAATCCATGGGAGTGCTGTAAAGTCAGGGGAAATTTATTCGGTTTCTGTCAGCAACGCGTTGATAACAATGTATGCAAAGGCGGGTAGCATTACATCGGCAAGCCGGGCATTTGATTTGATACGCTGTGAGAGGGATACAGTATCTTGGACGTCCATGATTATTGCGTTGGCACAGCACGGTCACGCAGAAGAAGCACTTGAACTCTTTGAGACAATGCTGATGGAAGGACTGAGACCTGATCACATAACATATGTTGGTGTTTTCTCTGCCTGTACTCATGCCGGTTTGGTCAACCAAGGTCGTCAATACTTCGATATGATGAAGGACGTTGATAAGATTATACCTACCCTTAGCCACTATGCTTGTATGGTGGACCTGTTTGGACGTGCTGGTTTATTGCAGGAAGCACAAGAGTTCATCGAAAAGATGCCTATTGAGCCTGATGTAGTGACATGGGGTTCACTGCTTTCTGCTTGCAGGGTTTACAAGAACATCGAGCTTGGGAAAGTTGCAGCAGAAAGATTGCTTCTTATCGAGCCAGAGAACAGCGGGGCACACTCAGCCTTGGCTAACTTATACTCAGCTTGCGGTAAATGGGAAGAAGCAGCTAAGACAAGAAAATCCATGAAAGATGGAAGAGTTAAGAAGGAACAAGGCTTTAGCTGGATTGAAGTGAAGCATAAAGTCCATGTCTTTGGAGTCGAAGACGGGACTCATCCCCAGAAGAACGAGATTTACATTACAATGAAGAAGATTTGGGACGAGATAAAGAAAATGGGATATGTTCCCGACACTGCTTCTGTACTACACGACCTCGAAGAAGAGGTTAAAGAACAAATTCTAAGGCACCACAGCGAGAAACTAGCAATCGCATTCGGGTTGATTAGCACTCCGGATAAAACCACATTAAGGATCATGAAGAATCTCAGAGTGTGCAATGATTGCCATACGGCTATAAAGTTTATCTCCAAGCTTGTGGGAAGGGAAATAATAGTGAGAGATACAACAAGATTTCACCATTTCAAAGATGGGTTTTGTTCCTGCCGAGATTATTGGTGAAAATAAGGAAGATCCAAGAATTATCATATGGAAGATTAACTCAAGCCATTGTACAAACAGATTCAGGTATGGCTTCTTTGGAAGGAAACCAACAAAAGTTTCCTCTTTCATTGTTATATTGGCATGTAAGTTCCATCATAAGCATAATTATTGAGCATTAGAATAAGATGACATGGGCATGTGAGTCTTTAGTGGTAAAGGAGAAGGATATAATGAACGATGGAGATATTTTTGGGAAAAGCATAAAGAGGAAAGAGAGAGAGAGAGATAGTAAATGGAATTGGAACAATTAGAAAGAAGTATAGAAGAAGAAGAAGAGAATATGGTTCTGTTTGTTACCAAAAGCTTTTCTTTTTACTAACCATTGACTAAGATTACACATAGATGAAGGAAGATCTTGGTCGGCATAAAATGTATGACTTAACAAAGAGAGCCCACACTTGTTTAGCTTACGTGTCAGGTCCGGGCAGGTCAATTAGAGATGATCAGATAGAGTCATTGCCCGTACTGCCCTAAGGATTCGTAGTAACAACTACGGGCAGCTTCACACTCTTCTCTTTCATCTCTCATCTCTCTCTTCTCCTATATCTGAGATTCTGAACAACTCTTCTTTGATCACAAATCTCACACTTATTCCATTAATGAACAGAGCTCATTTCTTTTAGTCTTTTTCTCTTTCTTTTCATAATTTTAGAGCTTTCTTTGGTAAGTTCTTCTTCTTCTTCTTGTCTCTGTTTATTTTGGTTCTTGAATTCTTGTTTTGTTTGTTGTGAAATATTGAAGTAGAGGACAACCTCAAAACTTGTTCTTTTATGATTCTTTCTATGATTGCTCTGTTTTTTTGTTTCTTCTGTAAGAAATTTTTGTTGTTATTCTTGTTATTGCAGATCTAACGGTTTTCATAACTGTTAAATACAGAGTGAACAAAGAATGGAGTTGAAAGAACAAGGTTTGAGGTTGTCTCTGGTTCTCTGTAACGCTTCAGTGCTAAACTGCGCCGCTTTGGCTTTAACGGCTACTCTGCTCTCCTCTTTGCTAGAGCTCTTCTCTCAGGCAAGCTCTTTCTTTTTTCAACTTTTCTGTTTCCTTCTTAACAAAACGTTTACAAAGTATTGGCGGTCGCATATAACAACTTTTTAAAGGTAGTATTTTTTTCTATATAAAAGTTAATATACTTTTTTTTTCCAGCAAAATCAATCATATATCTTGTATCTTGTTTCACACAAAAGAAAATTTTCTTACAAAATTAAATCTTGACTGACTTGAAGCGTTTTCTTCTTTAGAATGGGTGGTTGGAAAAATAAATAAATTAAAAGTTTTGGTGAATATATTGTGAGGGTGTGTATAATAATAGCTATTAGTTGAGGACGGTTGCTTTAATGAGGAGGAATATGAAAATAGATTTTTAAAATTATATATATGTTGTAGGTCCAAGAAATATCAAATAAGGTATATTCCATAGATTATGCTTTCAAGTTTTTTCAAATCTTATGTTTATAAGAAGCCCATGTCTTAGTTTAGTATGTCGGCCCAATTTTAATATCATGTTAACTTCTTAAAAGACTGTTTCTGGTAGTGATAAAGTGAATATGAAGCTGCAGGTTACTGTCTTGAAGGGTGATGTTATAGAGAATGGATACGAGGTGGTTGATGCAGTGGAAGGCAATGGAAACAATGATGATAGTGGTGATGATGGAGGAGAAGAAGAAGAAGGCAGTGCAGAAGATGCAGAAGGAAAGGAGACCAAGAAAGGACCGGTAAGTGATCCTGATTTGAACGGTGAAGCTGGAGATGATAATGATGATGAACCTGAAGGAGATGACGGCAACGATGACGATGATGATGATGATAACCATGAGAACGACGATGATGATGAGGAGGAGGATGAAGATGAGAATGATGATGGTGGTGAAGATGATGATGATGAGGAGGCAGAGGTAGAGGAGGAGGAAGAGGAAGAAGATGATGAGGAAGCACTTCAGCCACCAAAAAAGAGGAAGAAGTGAACAAACCGCTTTGATCTCCTAACATTTTAGATTCAAAAACCAGAACTTGTTATCGGTTTCTACCAGAAGAGGAGAAAATCTTAAGGCACCATCACCTTTAGCTTCGACTGTGTCTTTGTTGTTCCATAAACCAAAAAGACTTTGTTTAGTGTACCATTTTCAGATCCAATGGCACCAGCTTTCTTTCCTTTAGCCCATCATTAATGATATATGCGTATCTATGAGGTCATCAAATGCGATCAAATTTATATAACAACTTCAAAAATCAATTTTAGCTGTCATCGATAGTTCAAGAAAGTTAAATCCTACTGAGTCCTATCACTTTGATTGAACAATGCACACAAAGCAAAGAAAGAAAGAAAAAAAAGGAAGGCTTAAACATCAATTTTGGACAAAAGAATGAAGCTCATAAAGCAATCTTTTTCCCAGAGGTCACGATATCATGGAGATTGCAGAGGTCTTTAACGAATAATCACAATGATATTACTTGAGCCATAGACTGTTCATCCTATGGTATCGGACAAGAGCAAAATCAAACGGAAAAACAAAAGGAAGAAAAAACAATACAAGAAAAACCTAAAACGTACTGACTTGATAGAAATGTTAAAAGAAATCCCAGAACTGCATGTTTATCATTCTCATGCTCAGCTCACATCATCTGCAAAGTTGGAGTTCAAGAAAACAAAACAAAACATAACTTCATCAAAAGCTTAAGACAAAAAGAAAAAAATATCGAAACAGGAGCAATGCTCTATCCTTCTGGTCAGATAACCCCGAAAAGTGAAAACAAAAACATAAAAACAATATTAAAACTCAAACTAGAGTCTAAAACTCCATGAGTGAAACGGCATGAACAGATGCTAAAGTGTTACAGTCCATTTAAAGACGTTAGAACCAAAACCAGATGAGGGGAGAGATGGTAAACGTTCAGATTATAAAACCCAGTGCAACACTAAAACCAAAAAAGCCAAGAAACAAATAAAATGTAACAATATTTGTTCCCACCATCACCAACCAATAAAGAAAGTAACTTTGATAAAACAGATGGCACTTAAGAAAACTGTAAAACCAGAGGTAGTAAAGAAAGAAAACATAAACCAAAGTAGGAAAAACAAATGGAGACCAAATGGAGGAAACTAAAGAAAACAAAAGAATGAATTACGGCAATAGATGAATTCCTGTAGCAGTTCCTCCTAGGAATACACATATTTAGGCATTTTAGCCAACACATTAACCAGTAACAGATTGAGAGGAATCATGTCAGATTAATTTCCGGTACTACCACAAAGCCTTAATCCATTTATCTACACACACTATACACTACTATGAATCATTGAACATATGCTTATCCAAAGACATTCAAACCACAATATGTGCACAAACATTGCTATAAAACACAAAAGGTTCCAGTGAACGTACCATGAATAGTTTGAGTAGCCATGAAAGGATGAGCCACCAGCATCCGAATCTTTACCCGTCCCTCTTTTTCCACCAGCATCCGAATCAGGATAAGCACTAGACATACCCTGACCTCTAAAGTAAGAACCAAGAACTGATAAACCAGCAGCACCAACGCTTGGGTCACCAATCCCACCCATTTGACTAGACTGTACCAAATCAGAACCCATCCCGCCATGAGCTAGAGCACCAGCTAACATCGGATACATGTAACCTCCACCAGCTGCTGCTGCTAAAGCTGGATTCGCCAACATTCCGGCTCCATAAACCGGATGGTATTGATTCCCTAACATAAACGGCGATGCAGCCATTCCACCACCGTTAAACATATGTTGCCCTTGCACCTGCTGTTGCTGAGACTGGCCCTGATTAACCATCGAACCCATACTAATCTTCACCGGACCAGCCTGATCTTGCCCCTTTCCCGACGCAGCAGGCCCCATAGAAGCAAGCTGGCAAGTCGCTGTTCGATTAAGAATCCTCTTCTTCGGTTCTTTAAGCGCTTCTTTCGCTCCTTTCCTCGTCTTAAACATAACAAATCCGAATCCTTTAGCCTTACCAGTAACCTTATCTATAACAACGGTACACTCTTCAATCTCTCCATAGCCTTCAAAGACATCAACAAGAGTCTCGCGAGTCGTCTCCCAAGGAAGACCATAAACGAAGATTTTCCTATGGGTAACATCACGATCTGCAGCTTCTACGACGGCGGAATAGATCGAGGATCCGATTTGAGCAGCGGAACAAACGAGGTCGACGAGCTGATCTTTGGAATAAGGTCGTAAAAGCTCACGGAGCTCTTCTGGGTCGAATTCGTTGTCTGATTCCGAATCGCTAGAATCAGAGCTTGAGCTTGAACTTGAATATGGCGTCGATGATTCAGGTTGTTTGTTAATCTTCTGTTTCTTGTCGAGTTTTTTGGATTTGGATTTCACGAGTTTGCGTTTCTTAGATTTGTCTAGGGTTTTCGCCATTGTAGTAGAAGATAAGAAGCTTTTAGGGATTTTGATTTTTGATTTCGGTTTCTTTTTTTATCCTCTCTATTTATTTCGAGATGTCGTTAGTCACCCCAATCGCGCGTTTGAGTTCGTTATTAAATCCGCCAATCGCAATTTGTGACCGCTAGGATCCGGGTCGTACCCGGTGATCCGAACATAATTATAATGGACTTTTATTTTTGATAATTAATGGAGATAATAGACTTAAAAAAATAAAAACAGATTCAGGCCATTGAGGTTTAAAAAAGAAAAGTTTCAGGCCATTGTAAGAGAACGTAGAGAGAGTTTTGTTTCTGTTCTTAGATCTTCAGAGATCTTAGAGAGGGTTTTGTTAGAGTTTCCCCATTAGAAAGAACAAGAAAGCCCTCATAAGATAAAGAAAATGCTTGATTACAAAACAATGAAAACATATAGCCAAAACCAAAACCAAAGCTGATTCAGCTGAAGCATACCATAGATGAATACCGAGTAGATTCATATGGATGGATAGCTGCAGAGAAAACCGAAAACCGAAAAACAAGATTGATCCTCTTAAGAACTCGAAAAACTGAAAACAAGATTGATCTTCTAAGAAAACAAGGATTGGCATCGGTCATTGTGAATATCCAAAAAAAAACACCAAGTCTGGATATCAATACTCAACCATAGCTATACTACTCTCTACTGTCCATAGAATATGAACAACGAGCAGGTACAAAAAATAAATCCAGAACAAAGCTATGAAAAACAAATTGGGTCCAAGCACCGATGACCAAAAAAAATCTTGAACTTGGGCAAGAAAAACTTGGCAACTGAGATCGAAATGGACTCTTAAATACAAAAGAGAAAGGGGCAAAACTACCAAAAAAGAGGAATGTGATGAAAGAGATTGAAAAGCTTATAAAACCTACGGTGAAAAAAAACAATGCTTGAAGGATAGAAAACTCAAGTTGTTACTTCCAGAGAAAATCAACATGAAGCTTTTGAAAGAGTCTCAAAACTTTTGCCAGTACTCGAAAAGACAAATTTAAAACAAGAATGTTAAACCATTATGTCTGATCCGACAAACGGGTCTCAAGGCAACTACAGGTGAAGATACAGACTTTTGGCAATTATGACATATAGTGGACAAAACTATCAATGTCATAAGCTTCTTCTCCAGCTATAGAGACCAGACATTCAATGGAAAACCGGGAAAACATAAAACCAAAAACAGAGAAAAACAGAAGAGAAAATTCCATACGCAAAGCCACAGAAGAAAAACCAGAAGCGTGTTTGATGGTAAGGGGAAGACAGACGGACCATAATGAGGGATACCAAAAAGAAAAATAAAGAGATACCAAACTACTTAAAACCAGTATTGATCATGGTAACTAAATCTCCTAGACAAAATGACCACATTTTACTAGTTTATGAGAACAGAGGCAGAACACCAATGGAAGACTTCCAGAGAGCAAGAGAATTCATCATTTTTTTTTTTTTTTTGAACAAAGAGAATTCATCATTTAAGCACACAATATCCCTCAAAATGGGTCATATAGGGATAAATACCTCGTTAAAAGGGATGATCAAAAATGAAACTAAAAAAGTAGGTTCGAAACATCAGGCATAGAAAATAAAGATACGCAAAAAAAAACTCCGGCAATTCCCAAAATATCAAGTCGAAGATACCGGACTAATCATTAGCCTAATCTATAACTTGAAATCTAATCAAAGAAGACCGCATAAATATCAGAGAACAGGGTCATACCACTTGGTTTCTCTCATCTCAGATACCAAGCTCGTTCACCATCAAAACCAGTACCAGTACCAGCACCAGCACCAGCACCATTAACATTACCATCACCAACATATTGCCCAGCCATTCCCATATGATTCGGTGGCACCATAGGTCCCTGGTTCATCATACCCGAGCCAAACATACGATAATTCGGTAAACCAGCAACCATCGGATTACCCATCATTGCACCTTGATTACCCATCATAGCACCATACATCGGATTAAAACCAGGAGGCTGAGAATGCCCGTAAAAGGGCATGTTCTGTCCACCATACATTGCCATATTCTGCTGCTGCTGATGTCCCTTATCAACTCCATGTACATGTCCATGAGCCAAATCAACCCCAGGCAAAACCATTTCACTATGATTAGCCGTATGACTCAAATCAATCTTCACAGACTCAACCGGTTGTTCTCGCAGCTTTCCAGCAGTAGATGGCTTAGCTAGACTACAAATCACAGTTCGATTATACATTCTCTTCTCCGGATTCCTCAACGCCGCTCTGGCTCCTTTACGCGTCTTAAACAACACAAAGCCAAACCCTTTAGCTCTTCCTGTATCCTTATCCATAACCACAGAACATTCCTCTATCTCCCCAAAAACCTCAAAAGCCGCCTTGAGATTCTCATGCGTCGTATCCCATCCAAGACCACGCACGAATATGTTCCGCTGAGAACTATCTCTATCCGCTGATTCAAACACAGCAGAGATCAATTTAGAACCTTTCTCAGCAGTTTTGTAAATTAGGTTAATAAGCTCTTCCTTAGAGTAAGATTCAAGCAGATGCTTAACATCTTCCTTATCGAATTCAAAATCTGAATCAGACTCATTGTTGGTGGTAACAATCGGAACCGTAACAGGCTTCGAATCGACGATTTGGGTTTGTGTCTCTTCGGATTCATCTGATTTCTTGTGTTTCTTCTTGCTCTCCTTCGATTTCTTAGGAGATTCTTCTTCTTCTTCGTATTTCTTCGATTTCTTCTTGGATTTCTCAGGCTTCTCTGTCTCTTTGGATTTTGATTTATCCTTCTTAGAGATTTTCTTCTCCTTCACCGCGAGTTCTTCAGCCTCACGACGCTTCTTCTCCTTCCTCTCTTTCTTCTCTTTTTTCTCCTTCTTCTCTTTCTTCTCCTTCTTACGTTCTTCTCTTTCTTTCGCCATTGTTGACGGCAGTGTACAAAAAAAACTCAGAATAGAGAAACTCCTCTAAAATAGGGTGCACCAGAGAACACTAGATTATTACGTATATATTAAAGAAAATACAAACACAAACAAAAAAGTCTGGGTGGTGTAGTCGGTTATCACGCTAGTCTCACACACTAGAGGTCCCCGGTTCGAACCCGGGCTCAGACATTTATTGTTTTTGGAACGTAATTTTTTTGTATTATCTAATAAACCCACTAATTAATGTGGTCCAATTTCCATGAACTAGAAGGGCAAAAAAGTCAAAACACACAAAAGGAAAAAAGATCACAACATTTCTGGTTTTTGTGTGCCGGCGAAGAACCGGTGAGTGACGGGTCAATTCACATACTTGTTTAACGGCAACAAACACCTACCGATTAAAGCTTAACTAACGAAATCGGATCAGAGCTCTACTCTCTCTTTCTGGGTATTCGTGGGTTTTACCCAGATTTCGAAATCGAATGGCGGATGAACTGGAATTGTCGCCGTTGGTTCCACCGTCGCCGATGGTGGAGCCTTCCGAGATCGATCTCGAAGCAGGAGGACCTGGTGAACAAATTCAGTGCCGAATCTGCCTTGAAACTGATGGTAATGTCCTCCAAAACCCCTAGATTCGCTTCTCCTTAAGATGGGTTCTTTGCTTCTTGCTAGTGATCGTTGAACATTTTCATGTGCTCTTTAGATATGTCAAACTTCAGTTCAAGAATTCGGATTATGAAATTCGATTAAAAAATCTGAATGCTTGAGGTTTATTACTAGTGACTGACCTTAAGAAACTCTTACAGATTGGCTAGATCGTTAATGGTTCTGATGTGATTTAAAACCGTGATATAGTGAGAGAGGTTTTGTTCTAAGTTACTTCGTTGATTCAAAGCTCATTTATTGATCATGGTCAGGTAGGGATTTCATTGCCCCATGCAAATGCAAAGGAACATCAAAGTATGTACATCGTGATTGCTTGGATCATTGGAGAGCTATAAAGGTGCACTTTTTCATAAGTTTTAGGTCAACTTGGCAGCCGTTAGTACTTGAAAGCTGTGAATGCTCGCTTTCACTCTTTGACTATTTGTTGTTATCCCTTCCATTTTCAATCTAATATGATAACCTGTGTATATGTTAGTGGATAGGAACTTCCCTTTTGATGTAGATTTCAGTTTTTGTTGAAGAAGAAAACCATTTGAAGGCTAAAGAACTAAAGAAGGGTGGTTCTGGATGTAAAATTTTCAGACTTGATATATGTTTCATGAGTGGTGGTGTTTTAGTCAGTATCAGGGTAAAGTAATGAATAGCAGTTTTTGACTCCCAGTAAACTCGTTTTATTGACATTATTGCAGGAAGGTTTTGCGTTTGCGCACTGCACAACTTGTAAGGCTCCATATTATCTGAGAGTTCATAGTGCTGGAGATAGGAAATGGCGGACATTGAAGTTTCGCTTCTTTGTTACTCGAGACATTTTATCCATATTTCTTGCTGTTCAGCTTGTAAGCATTCATTTTTCAGCTGTGCTTTCGTTTCTTACAGTATTTTTCTTTCATTTGGTAATTTATCTTACTCATGTTTTTTTAAATGACTTCATCTTCTCACAGGTGATTGCTGCATTGGCCTACATTGTCTATTTCATAGATAGTTACCAGCAAGCATGGCTTCGTCATATTTGGGGTTTTGATAGTGAGGTCACGTTTTATTACATGTGTGGTATGATCCCAAACTGTAATATCTAAATTCTCCTCTAGATAATAAGATTGTATTTTCAGTAAGACCTCTGCCAAGTGTAGGTGGTAGGATGGGAGTGCTAAGTCTGTTATTGTACATATGTCCTAGTTAATGCTTTGCTTAGATCAGAATCTTAGATTCCAATGTAAGGAATATGCTCTCAGATGATTTCATTGCCTCTACGTAGTAGGAAGTCAAGCAAGGTTTTTGTGATCAGTTAGACTTAGATCAAGTTAAGGGGTTGGCTAAATTTTGGACCTTGTAGAATTTTGAACTAAATAAGAATTTTCGAAGCAAGTGTATCAGAGTTTAGTAATTAGAATTCTGTATATTACACAGCTCTTCATGAAAATTTGTTACTAAAGAAGTTTGTGCCAAGCGATTCTAAAATTACACATGTGTGTATGAGCTACTGGTGTTTATTTACATGAGGATTTTGTTTTGTGCAGGAGCTTTATTATTCTTTGCTCTGCTGGGTCTATCTGGATGTGTCATAACCTGCTACGATCGAAGAGTTCGCAGTGACTTAGCACAGCCTTGCCGTGAATTGTGTCTCTGTTGCTGTCAGCCTGGGTACAATTTCCATACTTCTTCCTTTGTTTTTGTTTTCAGTTTTTCTTGTTTAAGAAACAAAGTTACTGGTATTTTGTTTTCCTGTTTAGAAGTGTTCCTCATTTGGTCACATACTAGACTTTCGTAAGAAATAGTTACCTGAATATGTGGTCTTTTGCTTTACCTGGTTCCTGGGTGATTTCTGTATGAATAAGCGATATCAGAGTCTATAAATTGTGAGTCAAGCCAGAGTAATTCTGTTACACAATAGTTAGTGAAAAGTTAGAATACTAACTAGATACTCTTTCTTTTGCTGCTAAACTAGACCATAGATAGAGTTTATTATCTGCCTAACTACAACACGACAAAAGATATTATAGAAAGTATTTCAGCTCGAGTTGACTTTACCCATTTATTGAACATATATATCATCAATATGCAGGATATGCACAGACTGCCATCTACCAGGAACTATTTGTATGTGGGCAGATTGCACCGCATGTACTGAAGGCTGTGCAAGTGCAGTTAGTGAGTGTGGAGGTTGCCTTGGAGGTGCAGGGGAAGCCGGATTGCCATTACTCTTCATAACGGCATTAGTAATTCTCGGTTTATTTACAGTTATCGGTATATTCTATAGCGTATTAGTTGCAACCATGGTTGGACAACGCATTTGGCAGCGCCATTACCACATTCTCGCCAAAAGAATGCTAACAAAGGTAAGATTTTTATTTACCTCTTACGGTTTTTGTAGCGTTGTGGTTTTGTATCGTTCAATGTTTTTTATTTGGTGTTTGTAGGAGTATGTGGTCGAGGATGTAGATGGGGAAATGACGGGTTCAGAATGGTCTCCCCCGGCTTTACCAACTGAGCATGTCCAGCAGCTGAAGACACTTGGCCTTCTGTGAAAACTATATGGCTTGTGATTGAAACTATGGGAGATTTTTTAACTGCACGCAGGAAATTCCATTTGACAAGTGGTGAGAGAGAACTCGCAGTTTAAAGATTCTGAATGACGAAATCTAATAGATGTCTTGTATTTGTAAAGAAAAGACTCCAACTTATTAGAGAGTCAGTGATCTCTCCCACTGAGTCAGAGACTTCTCCAATTCACGAACTGAGCTTGTGTTGAATGTTTGTTTCTAACGGTTTTCCTAATATAGATAAATATCCGAAATTGCAGTTTTTCTTTCGGATAAATTTAAAACTCGATGCAAGTTTTTACGGGTTGCGATTACAGTTTAAGACGGTGGGATTATTTGAAATGGCAGCATGTAAGAAGCTTAGACGGCGTTTTTAGGCGGTTTAAACAGTGTCTAAGCTATCTAGACAGTCTATTGTCTAAGCTATTTAGACAGTATGCGTTTTTTGTTGTTGTTATAATACAATTTAAATTAAAACTTTGACTGTCTAATTCATCGAAAACATTATTTCTAATGATTATCATCGATTTAGAAGGGTAGAATATCTAGAAGTTGAAATTGAAAAAGAAAAGATTCAATCTAACAAACCCAAGAAAGCTAACAAAATTTTGTTTTCTTAACTATTAAAGAAATTCCTTACAAAAACAATTATAAAATTAAATGTTTCTTAATTATATTGTTCATGATACAAAACATGGATAGAGAATCATGTGATAATGTTAATATAATAATTATTTGTTTGAACTTTGAATAAACTTTTCAAGTATGGAAATGGATAGAGATAAAAATATTCTTTCTATGAATTAAGTTAATTACTATAATTTTAACATGGTGAGAAGGTACATATATATAGTAATCAATGTAGTCAACCCTATATTTTTCAACATTCATTCACTTTCTTTTAATTTTTATTTCTGCTTAGATGTATATCCGTATATATATAAACACAAACATTACATAACAATAAAGCAAAGAAAATAGCTTTTCATTTATCATCTCTAATTTACAAAACATTAGTACGTAGCTTTTTGTTGTTGTTGCGATCGATATAGTGATCATGGCAAAGATATCATGTTCTTATTTCCTCGTACTCATGCTTGTGGTCTCAGGTAATTTCATATTTTCCACTTCCAAACATAAAAAAATAGTTTTCATCTTTTTATTACATAAAATATTTAAGCATATACATATATATAGTTTCACATCATTTTTTTAAAAGAGAATAGTTTCACATCATAACATGGTATTTTACTTTTTCAGTTTTTTCAGTAGTTGAGAAGGTTAAGGGAGATGGACGTTGTACTATAACCATTGATCCAAAAGCTCCATCATGTGACATTATTGAATGTCGTCTATCCTGCATAACGGGGTACAATGGAGATGCAGAATGTATTGCATCCAAAATTGGTAGACCTCCTAATTGTGTATGTACTTATGATTGTTAAAGAGATAAATTTCTAAATAATAATGTTTTATAATGAATAAAATTGTTTCCTTCATCTATATGAATACATCATTTGGAAGTTCTTCCGCCCTTCTTATGATTGAATAATTAACTTTGGAAATATTCAGAAGATTTCAGTCACTTTATTGTTATTTAAAACAAAATTCACGACCAGATTTAGGGTAAAAAATTATCTGAAGTTCTAATATATATATATATATATAATTACACTTTAAATTTGAATAATCATGTTTCTGTAATTGCTGAATTAAAAAATATGTTGCTGAGATTAACTACATAATTTTCATAATCTGTATGAATAAAGGTTTCAAAGTCCTCCATCATTTCTTAAAGTGCTTATGATGAATAGTTTCAAAAACAAATACGGGATATTTCGTTTATTTATTTACATCGTCTTTTTATTTTTTCATCATAAATCGTAAAGTTTTTGGATAATTTTAACATTTTACAACAACCTACTATACGAAGACAATGATTTTAATATTTTACAAGACAATCTACTATATACAATGGACAACTCTATATACAATATTAATCCGCAACATAGAAGATCATGTGGGGAGGAATTAAATTGTTAGTCTGAGAATTAAACATGTTATCTTATGTAAAAGCATGAATCTCTGATTAGTCAACCACATAACCAAAAACGCTTCACGGCAAGGTTGGTAATTTGACTTTTATGCAATTTTAAACAGTCTAAAGGTTTATATAATGAATAATATTATATTATCATTATAAAAACATTTAAACCGTCTAAAATTACATAAAAGTAAAATTAGATGTTTTAAGCACTAAATAGTAGATTTTGAAACGCTGGTTTGGATATAGATTTTATCAAATGGTTTAAAACTGATATGTTTCGTTTTTAATATATTATTAGTAGTGTTTCATTTTTTTAGTTATATAAATATGTAGTATGGACTAATATTGTATGATCAATTAAAAAAAATGTAAAATCGTAAGAAAAGAAAGGAAAAAGATGAGGAATACATAGTTAAGCTTTTAAAATGTGACAAATGGTAAGGAAGAAATAGAAAGTTACAAAGGTTTGAAATCTATAGTCATCTTGAAAACAATTGTGATAAACTAAGACACAAAAAAAAATAGTCTTGATGATAAGGACTAAAAAATTAGCTTTCAGGTATGACTTAACATATATATGCTTTTGAGTTACGGCGGTTTTATGGTTATGATTGCTAAATGTACGAATTTAATAAATCTATAATTAATTTTATAAGTTTGTTCCTTGAAGAGTAGCTTACGAACTAAGAGTTTGGATCCAATAAACAGAGAGTAGGGGACAATTTGTCCCTAGTTGACCCTAAAGGCCACACAAAACGAAACAACGTCCAAACACTTCTACTGTCTTAATCTCTAGATTATTGTATTTAGAAAATCGCTAAAATATTAAAATAAAAGAAGTGGAAAAGGTGAAAAAAAACAAAACAGAAGTGGAAAATAAAAATCTCATAAAGGTTATAAAAACTTTCAACCAAGCAATTAATTAAACAACAATGAATGGTATGTCATTTTTGTCACATTTTAAAAGCTTAATTAAATCGATATTTTATATAACGTTTAGAAATAGCACAATAGCACAATATTGTATCAAGAATTTCACATTTACTTATTGATATTCATCTTCATTTGAAGATGCATTTCTTTTCTATATTCCTCAAGATTTGTGAAAATCGAGAATTTTGCCATATAAAATGACCTAAATGATGCCTTATAAAGCGTGGACGAATTAATTATGTTCTTGAAGGATAAACATTGCTTTAACAAAACTAAATGAAAGGCACCAAGTTAATTAATTCAAAGTGCTCGCTTTTAATTCTTATATATCACTTCAACATAAAGAGAGAAAAAAAGAAAACATATAAACACTATAACAAACATAATTTTGAAACCACACATGCACCAATATATAATTAAAGTCAAATGCATCAAAACATTTCTCTAAAGAATATGTGTAACAGCACCATTTAGCACTAACACATACTTAAATAGATTATCATCTACATAATCAAATAAACATATCCATGTTATATATGCGTTTTTAATACATAGATTTGTGAATGTAAAACCTAATTTAGACTGATTACACATATAACATAAGTATGCATGCATATTAACATGCATGTTTACAAACCTACATACTTGCTTTACCTACCATGCTACCACGATTTCGTTACTTATATGATTATATCTGTTTTGTGGTCCACATGGTGGTGGGCGGGTGGTTGGTGGGCCAGGGGTGTTTGGGTGAAAGTCCCTCCCCTCCGGTTTCGATTCCTCCTCCTGCTGTTATCAACATTATGTGGGAAGTCTGTCAGTTGGGCTTTGGGCCATTTGGTTTACCTGGTAGTCAGAAATGCAGGTGGCCTGACTACCCCCTGGCACTTAGTCGGAAGGCACACCAAACTCGGGATAGGCAGAGTGGTAGCCCGAAGGGCCTAGCCGTTAACACGGTGGACAAGTCCACTATGTAGCACCTCGGTGCGTTCCTACCGGGACCGACCGGATAGTCGATAGGGTATATAAAAAAAAATAAAAAAATCTGTTTTTGTGAAATTTTGTAACATTAGTTGATAAACTAAAATAATTAAATATATATATATTTATATTCTTATGATATAACTAAAAAGAAGTCAAAATATATAATATTGTATCATATGGTGGGAGATTAGTGGCCAATAAGTCACTATTATCTGACTTATCATTCCCTTCCCTAATTTTTTATAGTAACATTTATGAAATGTGGTGCATATATTTTACTTGTTTTTCAACAAATGTGGTATATATATAGCTTAAACCTTTTGTTTCTGTCGTTTGTCCTTTAATTGAATTAACTATGCATTTTTAATTTTTATAGTATGTAGCTTAAACCCATTCGAAACCCAAGTTACCATTGCCAGCTATGTTTGTACTCGTAAAAGGCACTAGACATACGACTACCAGTCTACCACAATATATTGTTGATTTTGGAAATGACTATTAAAATTGTAGGATAAACCACTGATTGAACTCATCATTATAGATTTATAGCGATTAGCATTGATTGGTGACCTCATAATTAATCTCACTCTTGTAATATTCTAAGTCCTCTTAATCAATAGACCTTTGGTTTGTTCCATCAACAATGCAGCTTCAACTTTATTTTGAGTGTTGTCTGCGCCTTGCATCAACAGAAATATCCTACGATCTTGTGTTTAGACCTTTCGAATCTAGCGGCACATATAATCTTTTGCCCATATTTCTCGAAATGGTTTTGGGTGACTTCAATCAAATTTTCTAAAGACTTTTTTTTTATAACGAATATGATTCAATGTCTACAGTAAATTGTGAATTTCTAGACTAAAAGCTAATGTTCAAAACTCCTCTTTTTTTTAATTGGAGTTAGATGTAAATACACAAAAACACAAGTATATTGGAGATTGATTCGATATACATAAACAACTAGTAATATGATTCATTACCAAAAAAAAAACTAGTAATATGATTCCAAATCATAATATATACAATAGCGTTCGATCCATACGAATCACATAGTATATAGTTATACATATCCCGTTGGTCGGACTCGGACACTCACTCAATGGTCGGTAAATTTTAAACTATAAATGATGAAAACTTTAATTAGCATACTAGCTAAACAAACCTGAGCAAATATTAATAGTTATATAAATAGTTGCAAAGTCCTTACGAGCCGACCTTAAAGCGAAGGCCACCATGTATAGATAACCCCTCCTTTCTAACTCGATTAATAATCTAATGTATTTTAATTATCACCCACTTGTTTCATTATATTTGAATTTTGAACTAAAAATTATTTATAATTAGTTACTTTAACAATTTGATTTTTAAACTTGATGAATTGTTTGTCTCACTCACGAATAAATACATTACCATAAACGACTAAACATGCATTCTTGTGTTAGAAACAAAAAAAGTATAAACCAACTTGTAGCTTAATAATTTTGATTAATTCCCTTTAACACTAGGTCCTTTACCAAAAAAAAAAAAAAAATTTGATTATTGTCGCTATCGTGTTCTTGCTTATTTTTTCTTCTACTTGCTTTTTTAATTTATTTATTAAGGTTTAAATGCATAATTTTTTTTCATTTGGCCCCCTAACGTAAGAGCATGTGCAATGGGGAGAGACTCTCACAGTCTCTCATATATATTATTTTAATACATTTAATTTAGTTTATTTTTTATTTAAATTTTGAAAGATAGAAAAGAATTCATAACCAATAATATTATGACATGTGTTATAATAGTCTCTCAAGGGGTTCTCAAGAGTTCTCATTTGAGAATTGATTCTCATCCCTCTCTCCTACTTTTTATTATTTTTATTTTTTATATTGTTGAGAACTCTTTTGAGAACCCACCACTGCACATGCCCTAAGAAAATAATAATAATAATTAAAATCGTTTTTGTTATCACCCATATAAATATAACAAAAAAAGTAAAAAAAAGGTTGATGAAATTCATGTGTTAGTCCTTTTTAACACGTAGAACGAGGGTGTTTGATGTCGTTAATTATCATGAAAGCACCAAATGTTATACTTACACAAGAATAAATTAAAGAGTTATCTTAAAATGATACATATGTTTTTTCAATTGCTTGCGATTTTAAAGGTTATTAGGATTCTTTTTCTGGTATTCGAATTTTTTAGGATGTAAAATATAATTTTATTAATGAAATTAAGTATACTGATGATTTATCATTTATCTATCAAAAATATCATTGCAATAGTTTCTTAACTACTTTTAATTCGGCGAAAATGGGGCAAAGTCAGAGAATTAATTGATTAAAGAAAGGAAAATAAAGAAATTAAAGGGATAAAGAGAATGAGCATGGAGAAGCATAATGATGAGAATGGAATCATAACCAACGGCCATAAAGCATGGAGTCCTTTCTCTATAAATTACGACAACTTCTCTTCATCATTACCAAACTCATCCTTCACTTCATTATTCTTTTAACCACACTTTCTCTTTGTTCATAATAACAATCAAACTAACTAA